TTGAGGTTGTTTGGGAAAGAGACGATGATGGGGGAGGGGGGTCTGGCTTAGGGGGCGTAGGGGTAAGGGATTGGGTTTATATAGTTAAGGGGAAACTTGATCTAGGCCGTTAGATCATCAAAAATCAATGGCTTGGATTGATCAACTCAAATGGAAACGACGCCGTATGGGTTAAATGAGACCGGCGGGTCTCTGGGTGAGACGGGTCGGGTTAAAGCATGGGTATGGAGATGTGATCTTGGTCGTTGATCAATCTGAGATCAACGGCCCAGATCAAGCATGATCAAAACGACGTCGTTTGGACATCCCTGAGGTCAGCTGATCTGGACCGGGCAAGACAATGCTTTGGGCCTGATTTGGGTCCAATTTGAACGGCCCAATTCCAATTTCAAACTCATTTCTTTTCTTTTTCTATTTCTAATTAAAATCCGAATTTACAAAAAATCCTAAAAATAAAAAATATAAAAATATAAAATTAAAATTATATCACAAGACATTAATTGATTCTTTAGTAATAATTAACACACAATATCATATATTAATTAAACAAAAATCAACCTTTAAACGATAGAATGACAAATTTATCAAAGATAATATTTTTGTGATTTTTTATTCATTCAAAACCAAATACGATTTAATTAATTCCTAATAGTAGAACAAAATCCTAAATTTACACGCGACATATATTTTGTATTTTTAATTGATAAAACTAAACAATCACAGATAAAAACTACAAATAACTATCAAAAATGTCACGCAAATTCACAAAATTATACACAAAGACAATTTATTATTTTTTTTCGATTTCTTTTGGAGTAATTGTCGTGTAAACAAAAATCACGTGCTCACAATGAGTGACATATTTTCCTTATTAAATGCACTAGTATTACCATTAGGGTTGATAACCAAGTGCTAGAAGAACCAAATTATCTTTTATTGGATGCTCTTCTTTGTTTCCGACACAAAGTAAGAAGTCACTGAATGCTGGATTTGTTCTTACGTTTATATTTCTTGTCATTTGAATATTTTTCATTTGAGGCCGTAAGTATAATTTTGGCAAGCTAGCTTTTACACTTTCTGCTTTCGTCAATTTTGGAACTACTTATAGTACTTGACAAAAATCACCTCTCAAACTATTACTTTTTCACCAAACGGTTCATTTATATCCAATATATCTCTAAAACTCTAGGCAATTGTTTCGACCGTTTGACGTTTAGCCAAAACCGCTTCATCCCATATTATCACTTTTGTTTTCCTTATAAATTTAGCACTATTTCTCTTCTTTGATATATTTGTGACGGTTATTTCAGTTATTTGAAGAGGTATATCAAATTTTAAGTGAGTTGTACGACCTAGTAATAAAATTGTTGATGGTAGACCATTTGTTCTAATTGCTAACAATAGCATGCCTATTGATCTGACATTTGCAAGTAATTTATGACATATGAATATTATTTTGATTCCACCGGAGACATCTACAAAGAATAATCTCGCTATACCAGAGTGAACTTTTTATAATATAGTCTTGAAATCTTATTCTTGTTCAGGATTTAGCTTTGATTGTGCTTTCTCAAGTACTTGTATGGCCTTCTTAATATTATACTAATCTTTTTACTTTGTGATCTGTTTTTTTTTTTTATTTCTAACACTCTTTTTATGGAATAAATTTATGTACCATAAGATTTTTTTTAAGTTGAAAAATAATTTTACTCCTATGATGAATTTAAAAAATACTTTAGTTGGATTCTCTTGCTAAATAATTAATTGAATGATTGGATTATTTATTTTTAATATAAAAAATAATTTATTTCTATTGATTTAGATTCCTAATAGTTCATCTCATATTCAATATTTACCCGTGATTATAATTTTATCCACCATAAATTTATTTTTAAAGAGTAAAAAGATCGATTTAACATAACACTTTAAGATCTTTATGTTTGCAAAATCATTAATGATATGAATCTTACCAATATTTTTCTTTCTCTTTCTCACACTTTTACAGCCTTAAAAACTTTCTTAGTTGTTCTTTAATAATTGGGTATATTTTTTAATATTACATGAAAAATTAATAATGATGAAAATATTATTTAAGTAGGAAAGCAGTTCAAATATAATATAATAATATATTATCGTGAGAGTTTTTTTCTCAATTTCAACGCTTTATGCAGTACGTTTAATATTACTTTAATTTATTTTTTGGTATTGGATAATATAGAGCGGTAATGTATTACCAATATGGAGAATTCTTATGAAATTGATTTTATTAAACCTTCCTATATATTTTTAAATTTTAATAAGAATTCAATAGACAAGATTGTATTAATTTTAAAATCTTAAATATTAAAAAAAATTAACATAGAAGTTGTTGTAGTCCAAAAAATAAGTTATAATAATTATGTCCTTTTCCTATGAATTCTTCTATTTAATATTTTAGGGCTATTTTGGTCTATCAATATTTTATTTGTACTTTTATAATAATAAAAAGTATATATATCCTAAAAATAATAGAATTACATGGCTAAAAATATGTCCATATCCCGAAAGTAATTATACTAATAGGAAATTTAATGTATTCCTAAAGGTATTAGGTTTACATGCTAACATGTAGTATTATATATCTATGTTCGAAACTAATAAGTCTTTTAATACTTATTTTTCTATTTTTATATAATTACTATTGATAGCTTCAATTGGAGAGAAAAAACTCCTACACCTATTAAATTAAAGTCTCGTTCTTGCTTTTAATTCTTATAGGAATCATTGAATTTGTTTTAAATTCTTATGGGAATCTACTTGAGTGGTTAAAAGTTAAAAAAAAAATTCACGAAGTTTTAATTGAATTCAAAGTCTAAATATTTGGAAAGTCACAAATATGACAATTCTATCCAACATATTTGAAAAATAGTTCAATATTTGAAGGATAATAGGATTTCTAAAGGTAATCATGTAGGATTCCTAACGTGTAGTATTATGTTCTAAAACTAATAGGATTACAAGGTTAATATCTAAAATTCCGATTATGTCTTTTTATTGTGAGTTATTATGCTTAATATTAAAAGGTTATTTTTGTAAACCAATATTTTATTCATGCTTTTATAATAATATAAATAAAGATATAGATAAATAGACAGATAGATACGTAGGTAGAAAAATACATGTATTACCCACTTTAGCTATAGAATTGGAGTTTCAAAAAGTAACAAGAGCTTTTTAACAAAACTTATATAATCTGATAAAAATATACTATTTGCATACAATTTTGATGCATATATTTTGTATGCTATTTATATATATATATATGCCTGACATACAACTATTCTATCATTAGACTGCGATAAGAAAAACCACCATACCCATCGCCAGTTGAGTCATGAGTACTTCAAAAACTCTCAAGAAGGAAAATCTTGTAAAAGATTTCTAAGATTACGTATATTTACCTTTTTAATATAAATTATTTTAGTAATTAGACTTCCAATTTTGCATATCTAAGTACCAAAAAAAATCTATTTTATCTTTAGGTTATGTTTCTAGAAGGCTCTGCAAATGCTTTGAGGTCAAATGGTCTGAAGGGATGCATTAATTTCATGCCACATGATTCCAAATAATGAATGAATGCTATATATATGTCAGCTCTGATTTTAAAAAGCCAGATCACCACACACTAAAAGTCAATTACGCTACCCTAATCTTAATTAAGAGTTTGCATGAATGCACATGCCTCTGACAGTGGTAATTAGACTTCAAGTTTTGGCATATATATATATATATATNTTATATAGTATATAATAAAGAAGGTATTACATAAATATGAAGATACATATAATATCAAGGGCATAATAGACTTTAATTTTCAAGTAAAAATATTATAAAATCTGGCAAATGTGACTTTTGTGATAATTCGAGCAAAGTAAAATAATTTTTGTGTAACAAAAGAAAGAAAAGTGACTTTTGAGTAATGAACACAAAGTTAAATAAAAAAAATGACTTTTGGGTAACAAACACAAAAGTTCAATGACCATAGATAAAATTAACTCTTTCTTTCTTTCTTCAAAGTAAAAGCGAGAAAACAACTCAAACATCTTAGAATTTTTGACTCAATGATACTGGGTTATTTGTTTCAAATTACAAAAAAGAACATATTTGTAATAATTTACTACAAACTTTTACATATATCTAAATCGTTGTTTAAAAACCCTCAACCCTCAAAATTACGTAACGCCATCATTGGTACTTTACAGGCAAATTTATTATTTTTCAATAAAAATGGAGGGGGATTATAAGATATAATATGAAAAGGGAACTACTTTCTTTTATTTATTTCAAAAATATTTCCATTCATTATTTGGTAAAAGGACTTTTTCGGTACAATACGTTCTAGATATCTTAATATTCATATATCATAGGCTTTATTTCTGTTGTTCTATTTAAAAAGAAAAAAGAAGAATGAAATTGAAAGGAATATCAAAAGTTCAGAAAACAATAATGAAAATATTTTATCCTAACCATGGTTAAGTATATTTTTAGGCTATTAAATCTAAAACATTAATATAAAAATAAGACATGTGTCATCCATCCAAATAAGAACTTGAAGAAATGAAGACAATAGAAAATGGAAGGGAGTTGGATTCCCTACTTTTACAGATCTAAGTAAAATTCTCAACAGAAAAAGTACCAAATAGCCCACTTGAAAATACCAGAAGATAGAATATCTTTTTAAAATAAATAACAGTCAACGAATTTTTTTGAAGAAAAAAGTTAACTGAATACTTTTCTCTGCAACTTTGACCCACACGAACCGGTAGTAACTGGTTCCATGCCTCGAGAGGAATTGGAATTGGGCTAATTCATTAGATACAGCTAAAATGACAGCGACTAATTTCAGCATCTAGCAATTAAAAGAATTGCAGTCGTATGTTCAGTTACCATCATCAGTGCAAAACAAATACACATGAATCCAGCACACAAAGGATGCTGATGCTTTGTTTATTTTCATAAAAAGATAAAACTTCTAATAACCAGTAAAGCAACTCATCCTTCGTTTGAGGCCATTATAAAGCATTTTCACTATGACAACTTCTCATTGTGACGAATTATCCAAAACCGATGAACGCTGAGAGAAGTCAAACATATGAACCACACCCAACAGTGAGAAAAATGAAATGCCAGTTCATGCTTCAATTGGAAAAAGTAAAGTACAAATGGGAATGAAATGGATATGCAAGTCATTTCCCTTATTTTGCCTGAGGGTGAGATGCAATAAAATCAACAGCTAGATTGATGGAGTTGA